TTTTTTATGACAATCAAGATTAATATGTGATTTTTCAAAATAAAAGAAAAACTTCACTTTTTTTATTTTTTTGCTTTCATCTACCCTAACTTGTTCTCTATATTGTGACTGTAACTTAATTGATAAGGAAGTTCGTAATCTACTTTACATTTACATAATATGTTTTGATATTTAGTATTTGTTTGATTGAATTTCTACAAATACATTTTTTAAAGATTAATATTTATTAATTAAATTTTTAAATTTTATGTGGAAAAATATTTTGAAATTATATTTTTTAATAAAATATCATAAAAAAGTTTCAAAATAATTTCATTCCCACTTTAAAAATATGATATTTTAATTTTTTCAATAATTTTTTTTTATTTTGATTGCACAATAAGGGTAATCTTTTTCCATCAATTATTCCACTTTACTAGTAAATCATGTAACTTAAATTTAAAATATATTACTTTTAACAACAAAAAATTACACTAAACTACTAAATATATTGAAATCACATATTCTTCCATTATTCCACTTTACTCGTAAATCATGTAACTCAAATTTAAAATATATTACTTTTAACAACAGAAAATTACACTAAACTACTAAATATATTGAAATCACATATTCTTCATGATATTTTTTTAGAGGTTTGAGTCATAAATATATATTTTTTAATTTCTATTGGGATGGCAGATTTTGAAGTTCTAGTAAAATAAGTTTAAAAATGTATTTAAATAATTCCACTAAGTATTCATACTCTTTTATTCTTATAGGTTGATTTCAAAATCACTTTTCTGTTCTTTATTGCAAAAGTTGAAATCGTATGCTTTGTTTTTTTGACAAAGAAATCGTACGCTTTGTTATACACATCCTTTTTCAAACGTTTTCAAACTCAACTCACTATACTTCTGGGCTACCAAGCCTGTCAGAATTTTGGACTTTAAGGCTGCATTGAACCCAGTCATCACTAATGATCTTAATTCAAAGAAAAAAAAACACAACAGCATATATCTTTACCTGTTTGCACAATGAGAGAAGCTAATTTAACATTTCTAGTAACAACCATATGGAGAAAAACACAAACAAAATATTCCGTACAAAAGTCTAAGGTTCATCGACCTCCTTCAAAGTAGGGATTCTGAAATTGAAGAGGAATGCGTGTATGCCTTATCCACGGAAGACGGATAGGACGAGACAAAGTCATCAAAACCTTCACCATGGGCAAATGTTAGGCCACCAGCAGTCAGGCCTAGCGCTGATAAGTCAGGTAAAGGAACATTCCCTTCTAAGTACTGCACCACTTGGCGCATGCTTGGCCTAGCTGTCGGGTCTGAATGCGAACAGAGTAACCCCAGCTTCAATACCAACTCCACCTCGTTTGCTACAAAATCCATCCCTAATTTTGGATCTCTAACCTCAAGAATCTCCCCTCTTTGCCAAAACAAAAACACCAGATCAACCAGAATCAAATCCTCTGTTTCACCTTGTGGTTCACTCGGCCTTCTTCCACAGGCAACTTCTAGCAAAAATGCACCAAAAGCAAACAGATCGGTACTGGTTGTGGCCTTCCCTGTTCGGGTGTGCTCCGGCGCTAGGTACCCTAGAGTACCCACCACGTGTGTTGTTTGTGGATCCGTTCCATGATCATACAATCTCGCCAACCCAAAATCTCCTAATCTTCCGTTCAATTCACCGTCTAAGAGAACATTGCTGGCCTTTACATCTCTATGAATCACAACTTGTTCCCATTCTTCGTGCAAATAAAGGAGAGCCGACGCTACGCCTTTGATGACCCTAAACCTCTGTCTCCAATTCAGGATGATATTCGGCTGGCCATAAAGGTACTTGTCCAGACTTCCATTCGGCATGTAGTCATAGACCAAGAGCAACTCCCCTTTCCTCCGGCAATACCCCAGGAGTTGTACTAAATTCCGGTGACGGAGACGACCGATGCTAACAATTTCTGCCACGAATTCCTTCATCCCCTGTCTTGATTCATGAGAGACTTTTTTAACGGCAATCTCCAATTTGGAGGTGGGTAATGTTCCTCTATAAACCTTACCAAATCCACCAGAACCCAGTAGCCCTTTGTCCTTGAACCCATTTGTGGCCACATACAGATCTTTGTACTTGAATCTTTGAGGCCCGTAATCGAGCTCCCAATCTTCAACTACATCTGCGAATTCCCTCTTCCTCTTTATGAAATAAACAACCCCTAAAACTGTTACAAAAACCAGAGTCAGGGAAATCAAAGGCAATCCAATTCTTAAATACTTCAATGTTTGCTTCCGTCCTCTGCGAGGAAGCTTAGGTAGCTCTGCAACAACGAGCTCCTCTGCTTGGCCGTTAATCATAAAACTCCAACCCAAAACATAATGAGATGTTACGATCGCACCAGTTGACGCAGAGAATCCGATGTATACAGTATCGTTGACGATGGGCGATAAATCCCTTGACAGAGACAAAAGAGGGAGTTTGGGTTTAGGAACATTAATTGGAGCTAAGGTGACATTCATTCTCTGTTCTAGACTATTGTATTCTACCCAAACTTGCATTGGCTGTCCGCT